GCACCATAATCTGTGATCCTTTTTCAGACATATATACTGGTTAACTAATCCATCCTGACAAAGCATTCATAAACATGCATTGGAAAAAATCTTTTACAAATTAAATTAAATCTAAATAGATTTTCAAGGCTTTTAATTTTACATAAGCACAAAAAGCAGTCAACCTAATTTTTATCACATGATTTGGACACCAAATCGGAATAACACAGAAAATTATGAATCTAAAAAAGAGGGTATTCTATTGAGAAACTTTCACAGTAAATATTTAATTATTCTTCATCAAAATACTTCATCAAATTACAGCTTTATCTTTATTGTTCTTTATAGAGCTAACAAATGATAGTTTAAAGTTATAGACAAAAATAGTTAAAAGACTTCTTTCTAGTTCCTTTCTTCTAACAGGCATTTGCAAACTTAAAATTTCTACACTAACTCAACTCTCAGGATCAAAGAGAGGCTATAAATAGATTTTAGTGTTTGATGCTTGTACTTGCTCCCTCTCTATCTCTGTGAATGTGTGTACGTGTGTGTGTGTGTGTGTGTGTGTATCTCCCCAACAATTCCTGCATGTCAAGAGAAACATAGTACTTAGAGGAAAAGTTGGTGTGGAAACTGGGTCAGAGGCACAAAATTACATGTTTATGACAAGGCACAAACTGTTGTTCTCCCTCATCAGCAAGATTTTGTTTATTTTTTTCTTTTTCAGCCTCAATGGAGTCTATATTCAATATTAAATGCCAAACAAGCCCCCTCTGACATTCTGGAAACTCATCTTATCTTAATAGAGGCAGAGTCAGTGACTCAGAGCAGCCCACATGGGCCGAGGGAACTCATGACAGCTGCAGCTGAATGAGTGAGAGAAGAGACACTTTCTTTTTCTAAGCATAAAATGCCTATGATGGCTCCTCAGTTCAACTAACCCTTTAGCAGAGCCTCTATACAATAGGTGTATAAAATAGTCGTTGGCAGCTTGTTTAAAAAATACAAAGAACAAGTAAAAGAAAATACATTTTATTTAGCCATAGAGTTAAGAGGATATGGGGGTGTTTAGTGCCACCTCTATTATTAAATCAAATATAATTTAAAAACAAGAATTGTCCATTTCAATGTCAAATTAGTTTCATTCACCACATGTCTGTTCTTTACTCTGCATGTTAGGTTTTATGCCTTCTGGAGAAAAAGTTAAGTTTAGAGTGAAACTAGTCCTATATATAAACATATCCGAAAACAAGAATATGTAGGAAAATCCCCAAATGTCTAAGATTTCCGTTTCTGTCATAAATACTGTCATTAATTAAAATGTACTGGGAAGCCACCAGATGCATAGAACTATTCCAGGAACAATATAATAAGATTTGACCTGTGTCTCTAAACAAAAAACAAGCTTAGGGTTTAAATATTTCAGGCAAATCTTTTACTTTTTCTTCCCTAAATTACCCAAATTATTGCATCAAATGTTCACTTACAGTTTTGATAACAATTCAACTTATATTATAAACAGTTTGAACTAAGTTATCAAAAAATCTCCTGTTGGAATGAAAAAGAAAAAAATATAAAGCAAAACAAAACCCTTCTGCGATCACCACCACTAACAATTTCACAGCAAGAACAAAACTAATCCTACCAAAAATTAGTGGTATTTAAATAACAACATATTTTGAAAGTTCTAAACATTTTATGGATATCAGCTAATTTGTCTATCATGGCAGAAGGGATGTGAGTTTATTAACATTAATTCCTTTGAAACCCATAGTTATAATTGAGACCATTTTATTGAAAGAGTGTTATATAATTGCAATATCTTTGTAATATCGTAGAATAAAAGTCAAAGTTAACAGTACAATTATTCATATCTATGTGCTCTATTCTTTACTTTTTAAGACAGTGAGTTTAGTTAGAATTTCCCTGAATTTACCAAAGCCACTTTCAGGCACATTTGGTCCCCTAGAGAGGAATCTCTCCTATACCTTCATGAGGTATGTCTGTGGGGGTGGAAGTGAGGGCAGGAAGGTGACTTGAGATAATCACTGTTAAAATGTTTTATTTGCAAATGATAATTTCTCCTTTCATAAATATCAGTAAATATGCTTCTCTCTTCCCCCTCTCTTTCCCTCTCTCAGGATATCAGGCAGATAAGAGTTATCAGTAAAGGTCATCCTCAATTTCTGTACAGAAATGATCTGTCTCCGGTATGTAATAAACATTTATCCATGCCTTTATTAGCTATATTGAAGCTGACAGTTCTGTTAAACCATTTTCTTTCATTTTGCTAGGTCATGACGGTTAATGCTGCTAAAAAATCTCATCACTGCTTTTGATCACTGTATTGTCTTCCCTGTATTATCAGAATTTTTTTGTGAAGGTAAGCACTGGCTGGAATGACCTATTAAAGTCACAGCCCATTGAATCTCTAGCTGTTTTTTTTTTTTTTTTCTTCATCACAATAAAAAGGCAAAGGAATGCAAAGAATAAATTTTCCGCAGAGGGTGTATTTAGTTGGATAGTTGATGTGTTCAGCCAACTCTGAATTATTCCTAGTAAAAAGTACCCAAAGCATCAAATACAAATGAAAACCACACATAATCCAAAATCTTCACTTTGGTTGAATCTTTTACCAGCGTATTCTCAAGATCTAAAAAGACAACCTCACATTTTACGCAAATTCCTTTCTCATCTCCAGGAATCAGTTCTCAGGATGCAGGCAGGAGAAGAAAAATCAAAAGCAAAACCTCATTCATTGAATACAGATCTCCAGATAATTAAGATGTGCAATGGGAAAACATAATTAGGGGAGGGGTCGTTTGCATCTGCATTCCTTTCCATCTTTCCCTCTTCCAGACCACTTAACCTCTCCCCTTGCTCAAATCAACTTTTAAGAATGGTTTGAGAAATCAAAAACAAAACAGCCATGAAAATGTCTGCCCTTGTTAATGGATTAAAGATATTATATAAAACTTGCCAAAAAAACGTTAGTTGTCAATTTCAAGGAAACAGTTCAGATCAGTTAAGAAATAAACCATCTGAAATTTCAAACACGTTTTCTTTCAGTCCAACAAACATTTATTGAGTTCCTATTGCATTCCAGGTACTGTGGGAAATTCCAGAAATATAAAGACATGAAGAACTCATTTCTTCTCTCAAGCAGCTCAAAAGGGGGCAAAAAACAGTTATTGAAAATTCACAGGGTAAAATTAAAGCACAGAGAAGCACCCTCCCCAGCCAGGAAGGTCATGGAGACTGAGGGAAATATGAAGTACAAACTAAATCTTGAAGAGCTGGCATAGTTATTCAGGTAAAGAAGTAAAAGCAGAGGAAAGGGTATCTCAGGCAGAGGGAATGGTATGAGCTAAGGCACAGATGCATGAGTTATATGTATGCAGAGAACCACTGGAATCTCTAAGTTGTCCAAGCATAGCAATCATAAGCATGGGAGACAAGAAAGGAAATAAAAAGACAACTTATTAAACTGGAAAGCTAAGGACAATACAAACTTTGGGGGCTGTGTAAGGAGCTTAATTAGTAGTATTTCCAACATCATTAATATGTAATAAAGCAAGAAACAGTATGGTACTTTAATACCATTATCTATTCATTCTTTTTTTGATTTATTTAAAAAAATATATGTTTTATGTCTACTACATGCCGGGCACTGTTCTAGTTGCCAGTTGTATGCCAGTGAATATAATAACCAAGTCCCTGAACTCATGGCATGTTCATTCTGATGGCATGAGACCGACGAGAAACTAACAGCAATGACAATATATGTCAGGTGGTGATAAGTTCTACTCTGTAGAAATAAATTAAGGCTGAATAAATGGGAGAGCAATGTGAGAGGTGTGAGAATAGGGAGCATGGTGTACTATTTTATAGAGTGGTCAAGACAAGGAATCTCTGAGAAAGTGGTATTTGAGCACAGACCAAAAATTTAAATTAAAAGAAATGAGGACAAGAGCCATGTGGTATGGAAGAATTGCTTTCAAAGCAGACCTGATCACAGGTGCAAAGATCCTGAGAGGGAAATGTGCTTGGCAAGTTGAAGGGAAAGCGAAGAGGCTGGTTTGGAGCAGAGTAAACAAAAGAGAAGGTAGGGCAGGTAGAGTAGAGTGCAGAGAGATGCAGATTAATACTGAACACAGGGTTTTCATTTTTTTATAATGATCCAAATATACCTTACAGCTATGTATGAGTGTCTTAGAGATAGATACTGAAATAGAGATGTTTCAAAGTTTCATAAAACAATACTATATCCAGTGTACTCTGCTATTCTCAATTCTACTTTTTAAAAATTCTGGTCATAATCTATTAAATTTACTTTACAACCTACTAATAGGTCACAATCCACAGTATGGAAAACACTGAGGCAGAGCCATGGAGGTCAGCTGAAAAAAACACATGTTCTTTCTAAGATACACAACACCTTGCCCAATGCCAGGCACACAGGCATCCTAATATTATTTGTTGAATAGATGAATGAACGTAATTAAATTAAATGCCCAAAGCATAAAGACCTCAAGTTGTGCATTTCTATGCCGAAACAAAACTCTAAGAACTTCACGATCTTCAATTTATAGTTTGTCACCAGGTTCATCAGAATGTACTCAGAATTTAACACAATATCAGTGTTAGTAACTTGTTAGAGTGGACAAAACGTTCTCAGGAAGACCATTTACTGAAGGTAAGGGGAGAGTACTTAAAATTTACTTGTCAAAAAGTATGTACAACTTCTGAAATGCAAATTCTTTTTTCTGAATTAAAAAAACAGGTTGAGAGTAAGTCCCTAAAGAAGTTCATTCTTGTTTTGATGGAAGTTAATCTCTTCTACCCTGACGATTTGCAACATAGGATTAGAAAATCTTTCGATATAAATGGAAACATGTGCCAGAATTTCTGACTAACACATTTGATTTGATTATTTTGTGAATGAATTGTATGTGAAGGGAACAGCCACCCTCATGAAGTTAGCTATGCATATTTCTTTAAAAAAAAACACAAAACCAGAATTGAAGTTCAAAAAATTTGATATTTATTCTGTACAATTATAATTGCTAACACTTACACAATGTCAAGCACTGTTGTAAGCAAATACACAATTAATTAAATTCTAACAATAATCCTATGGAGGAGTTACAAATACTACCTCTATTTTACAGACAAAGAAACTGAGATATAGAGAGCTAAAATAACTTACTATGTTCCAAGGATTGCAACACTCTATATATGTTAACTTATTTAATCTTCATAACAAATTTATTTTACAAGTAAAGAAACTGAGGCACAGGGAGCTTTAACTTGCTCTTGTTCATCCAACTAGTAAGTCATGGAGCTGGGATTGAGCCCAGGGCAATCAGTTCCGGAGTCCGCACTCCTGACTACTATGCCACTCTGCGTCCTTTAGCTGCAATATCTGTGCCAAGTTAGCACTGTAAAGTAAGACGACAATTGCCAAGTGAGATCTTAAAGAAAGTGTGAGCTCCTCAGGAGAGAACAGTAGCCCTGCTACATATATTTGGCACCAATGATTCAATCAGAATTTTAAAATATCACAAAGGACTTAGTGAATGCAACTTATGAAAATTTTATCTTATACTTTGCCTAATAAAATCCTATACAAGAACTTTTAAATCATCTTGAGCCCAAATTAATCCAATTATTAATGTCCTTCTGTATGTTTTGTTTTGCTTCTCTCTTACTTGCCTTAGCCCCAAGTTTGGAACAATATGCCATTAAGTTAAAAATGCAAATACCACATGAAAAAGTCTGTGTCTATTTCACATTCATTTTTAAAATTTGGTAATTAGATGTCTTTGGGTGTTTATAAAGAAATGCAGACATCTAGACAAATGTCCACCTCAGCATTTATGGCTCTTATTGAAAAATAATTGCTCTCATGCTCTCCTTCATTTGTTGTTTTTTCATCCAGCGCTTAATACACACATGTATGCATACAAGGGTGTTAACCTTGATGGTCTGCTCCTTACCCTAAACTACCCTCTTTGTTATCATGATAATGGTCATATTAATGGTCAGGCCTATTTCTTAAAGAGCCTTTGTTCTCCATGGAGACTCAGCATAAATATACCAATAATAATCATTCATGTTCAGATGTTCTATCAACCTACCTTGGAGATGAAGGCTGGACCCAGCAATGATAACTCTTTTCACCATCCTGAGTAAAGATGCACACAATAGAAGTACACAGAACACCATCATGACCTCTGACCTTCACGCCTGAGGTCACTGGGCTCCAAAACAAGACACAAGACCCATGTGGTCATGGGAATCTTAAAGAGACATTTCTGACCATAACCTGGCATTTCTTAATGAGCTCACATTGCTTAAACTCTAAGTTATGGTCAAAAGAAAAACATATCTTTATCAATAGACAAAGATTTTAAAATTCTAAAATAAATTCAGCAGTTGAAAAAAACAAATAACTGAAATATCCACTTTCCCATGGCAATGTGGTATTTTAAGCCAGGCATTTTCTTTGAGAGTTTCCCATTGTTTGGATTGAAATCAATAAAAACAAAGAACCAAATGCTTAATAGCTCTACTAATATTTCTTTTTCATTTTTAAAGTGTGTCTTGGAGACAACTAGTGATAATCAAAAACTACATAGTGATTAGGTTCCCTTAATTTAACACTTCACTCTAACATGCATAACCTTAGATAAACCCCCATTTCCCAGTCTAAATCAATTTTGCAAAGAAGAAACTATATTAATTTTTTTTTCCTTTTCTCTCTTAGAAATACCCTGGAGCTCATTGTAACACCTATTTTCCCAATGTTCATTGCAGTACAATGTTATGGTAAAAAGTACAAAATCATTCATGTACTTCAGGGATAAAGACTGAGACAAATCCTATTTATAGTATATTCTGTACCATACTATGCCAAGGTTATCTGGGCTTGTGAATCTTTTTTAAAATGATAATGCCTTAAAGACTTCAGGGAGGTTATCCTCTACATTGATACCAGGAAAAATACAAGAGTAGGAATTACATGAAAAAATAATCTGCCTCTTCTGTTTAACATCTTTAACATAACAGCTTTAAATCCTATCTGATATTGAGCAAAAATCTAGATGAAAGAGTTAAATCCACTGCTTAAAAAATATGTATCTATTGAACCACAAAGTACAGAACAAACAGAATAAGGCCATCGGCATGTGGCAACTCCAATACATCTAGAGTCTGTATCATTTAGTGACTGTGTAACCCTTAGTTTTTGAGAGGAGGCAAGTAGTCAATAAGATGAAAAACTATTGATCTACCAACAACTTTAATACAACCTTGAAAGAAATTCTATTCAAAACCCAGAAGCCTCCCTCAGTGTAGTAGTTAAATTACTGACTCCTAGGCAAAACAAAAATCCTGCCCTTAGGCAATTATCAGCATGATTCTTTATTTGAAGTCTTACAGGCTGTTCAAGGGAGACCCTGAGAGTTTGGCCAAAAGGAAACAACATGTCCAGTGAGTAGCTCCATACAGGCCAAGCAAAATGGAGCCTCCCAGGATGAGAATATTAAATTATTATGGCTACAATGGGGGGTACACTTGTTAGTGGCCCCCTCCCACTTACATTCCTGCTCCTCTCTTCCCTGCTGTGAGTGCTCATTGTCATACCTAATATTCAAATGCTTTGATAATAATAAAATTGTCAAGATAATAGCAGGAAACTTTAAATAGAAACTCAACTTTTAAAAGCCAGCTGTGTTCTTCCCTGATTGATCTTCCTAAGATGTCTTCCAAAAGCAAATTTTTTTATTTAAAAATTAGAACAAATATCCTATTATATGTAAATATGTATGCACAGGGTCTAAGTTTAGAAGCACAAATTGCACATCATAAATTCAATACTATAAATGGTCAACAGAATAAATGCTACGACAGAGATAGGCAAAGGAAATTGGCTGCATAAGGAATGGGGCAGTAGAATGGGAATGAATCTTTCTTAATTTAACATTCTGTTTGAATGGGTGTATTTTCTTCTATCCAAAGGCCTTTAAGTGGATGCATGAAGTAGACAAGCTCTTAAATCAGGGAACAATCGCCCATGTGGGCATTATTGATGGCACCTTGTTCGAATAAGCAGTTTGGGCTTCTTTATTTCCTTTCATTTGACATGACATTCCACTCAATAGAGCCAGTGAGGTGAGGTGTAATGTGGTTTTTAGGAAGAATACTAGTATTGTTAACATGTTCAATATCTGTACTTCTTAAGGTTGTTTCAGAAAACTTCGCTCTTTTGTCCCAATAAAATAATGATTTCAGGAAAACACTTTTGCTCTCTTTTCTTAGTCAATGCTGTTTGGTCTACAGGCATTTTAGATAAAAAGTACCAACGGATCAGAAGAAAAAAAAAGTAGCAGCTGGACACTAAAGCTCTGTAGGTGGCTGCTGATAAATACAGTATTGTAACTTGCTGGCATGAGCCCTCTCAGAGTGCTCTGAATACAGGTCAAAAGGCTTGACAAATTCAGAAGTCAATTTTAAATTATAATCTATATACAAGTGAATTCTTATTCCTGCCACCCAAAAGGATATTTTTTTTCCTTTCTTGGTTACATTGATATGAACCGACTTTTGTTTACCTTTCCATACAGACTCATATCAATATATCCATCAGAATCACCAAAATGGAAAGTTACTTCAGTTTAAAGCACTGGCGGTCATTGCTTTAAGGGGGAATAATCTGGTTTTTTAAATATTATATATGTAAAAGAATATTCCTTAGTTAAACTTTTTGAAATAACTTTTTGGAAAGAAAAGCATTATAGAAAGATAAAGGATTGCTTATTTCCATGGTGTTATCATACGGTGCCGGTAGGTACTCTTCCTCAATTCGTATCATTTGGCCACATTTGCTCCATTGTTCTTTGTCTTCTAGCACTTGTGCTTTCCATTTTCATGGAATTAATTACTAATTGTTTGTATTCCTCTTCAGAAGTATTGTCTTATTCATATATTCTTCCAATCTCCATATTGAAGTTTTCAATTTCTCAAGGTCAAGGAACCATGTGTTTTATTGACTCTTTGCATTTCTTCAAAGCAAGCCTCTCTCTTCAATGTAAATATTTAGCAAAATAGTTGCCAGTCTATAAAGATCAAAAAAAAAAAGAGATATAAGAAGGTTATAAAACAATTTCCGAGCAGTGGTCATTTTTGCAGAAGTAGAGTCAGAGGAGTGGAGCTACTATATAATTCTGATGTGTTTGATTTTTTAATTATGATAATATATTGTTTTATAATAAAAAAATAAAGTAAAATAATCTTTAAAGAAAAGGAAGATCTGAAGAAGCACACTAATGTTCACCTTGAATGTTCCAATCCAAATATACTCCCACCTTATTAATGAACAGCATAAGTGATAAGGTGAAGAGATGGAGATAAACAACGTTACAGAGCTTGCTGCAATATGAAAAATGAAGAAATTTTTGCAAAGATGGTTTAAAGAAAAAAAAATGAGGAGTATGTACCTTTTAATCTGGACCTTGACCTTAACCTATGCAAGTGGAGAAAATAAGTGTGTTATCTTGAAAAGATATGAAATGGCATCACATGATATGCCACCTACTAATGTTGGCATTCATTCATTGGACAATTTTTTTAAACATCTACTATATGCCAAGTATTTTTCTAGGCACTGAGAATTAGTAGTGAATAAAACAGGTAAAATATCATTGTCATCACTGAATTACATTTAGTTGAGGGAAATAGACACTAAACACTAAATCATTTAATAAAACAAGGTATGGTGATAAGTGCATTGGAGAACAATTAGGAAAGGGCAACTGGAAGTTCAGTAGGTAGTGAGGATGGTTGCAATGAACAGCTCTGTGAATTCCAGGTCTTGTCTCCTTATCTCGAATGCTGCCTTGAAGCTTTACTTCAGCCCCCACAGGTATAAGAGACTCAGGTTACACAGATGACAAATGCATGTAAAAGTTGCTCAATCGTCTCCAACAACAGAAACCCCTGCAACCTCTCGCTCTTGCCTTGGAGCCACACAGAGATGGCCCACTGCAAAAACACTTCCTTTTTGTCAATTACAGAATAATAGAACTTTAGGGAAAACCTAGAATCTCTTCAACCAATAGCACAAAATTCATAGAATTATAGTATGTTCGGGGTTCCTTCAAATTCAGTTTCTTCCACACCTGAAATGAGTTTTATGAAAACAAGTTTAAACCTAAAGACAGCCTGGATGCCTTAAAAATGTTTACCATTAAGTGGGAGTTGATGGAGGTTTTTATAGGACCTAAAGCTTATACAATTTGGGAAGAAAAGTAATACTAATATATGAAAAAAATTAGATATAAAAGTGAATATGTAAATCAGAAAATAAATTAAAGCAAATTATATAATTCAAAAGCTGACAAACACCATAAATATCACAGAATCTAGAATAATCCAGTCTAACTTCTGACTTAATACATTTTAAATCTGTTTCTCCTTCATACCCACATATTCTAATGACAGGCATCATAGAACACAGCCTCTGGCCTTGTTCTTTTGTATCATAATGAGAGATAAATCAGCACAGCATCAGAAGATGTTTTTACACCAAGACATCCTACAATAATTTATCCCTAGAAGTGACTGCAAACCACATACTTATGTCCCACTAAACCCAAACAAAATGTGTCTCCAACTTAACTTCCCTTAGCCATATTCCAAATGTCCCATGGCCACTCAATACCACTCAACTATAGTGGAAGTAATAATCTCACAAGATTTCCATATTTCACAGAGAAACTGAAGCTCAGTTTGACCTGAAGTAAAAACAACAGCAAACCTCAAGGCTGGAATTTCAAAACTGGTTCTTTTTACTATGCTAAGTGTGTTTTTTTCACTGAAAGCTTCAAATAATTAGCAAATAAAAGTGAATATAGAAGAAAGACAAAAAATAAAAGAGATGAATATCACTAATGGAAGGATTTTAGTAAACAAAAGCTAAAAACTGGAACCAGGTAGTCAAGGATAATATATAAACAAAGCGCAATTTAAAAATACTACAGAAATCAATAAAATAGATTCTGGCCTCCAGAATACTCTTTAGAAAAATTATTCAATAGATGCAAAAGTAGAGAGGGCAAAAAGAGAATTCAGTTCACCCAACACCTTTCTCTATCACCAACTCCCAACCCAGCTCATCACCCACCCTTTTATCCTTTTGTGATAGCTTTCCCTATTCAGCTGTCTGGCTGGAACAGGCTGTTTCTCACTGTGCCTCTCTCCCAGCTTGTCAACTGAAATCGTCTTGGAATTATAAGGTCATTGGTATATTACTGAAATAAGGTATTATATCAAACACTTCCCATGTCTCTATGACAAAAAAACTAAGCATTTTTGAAAGAATCAGCCTGTCAAATAATATGTATTGAGGGCCTAGTACTGCTAGGTACTGTTCCAAGCTCCAGACTACCACAGAGAGCAAGACAAGCAGACTCTGTCCTCAAGGAGGTTACATTCTAAGTAGAAGCCAACAATGAAATACATTAATTAAGAAAACCTTTTGAGATTGATAAATGCTATGAAGACAAAATAGTTATAAGGAGGATTGGGTGAACTTCTACAGAGAGAAGAAGTGACATTTGTGTTGAGATGAGTGGGATAGGAAGAAACCAACCACAAGGAGACCAGGGAAAAGAACTTTCCTAGAAAAAGGTACAGCAAGTGCAAAGTTCATAAAGGGAAGATGAATTGTACATGTTCCATTTACAGCAAGAAAGTCAGTATAGCTGCAGCTTCATGGACAAGACAGACATAAAGGGAGATAATGTCAGAGAGATAAGCAAGACTAAAATTCATAAGATCCACAGCTCTATGAGCTTAGATTTTTATTAATAAGCTTGAATTTTTTTCTGGTAACAAAAGAAGTCATTGGATGTCTTTAAGCAGTAAGTAATGTGATCTTATTTCCACTCTAGAAAAATCATTCTGCTGTATAAGAGAAATGGTGTAAAAGAGTGAGGAGAGAGGGGTTGGGGCGGGGGAGAGAGAGAGAGAGAGAGCAAGAGAGAGGCCAGGCCAGAAAGAAATAGAAGTTTGAGAAACAGTACACCTTAAAAATTGTTTAAAGTCATGGCACTGCCTAAGATCACCTGAAGAAAAAGGTTACATTTAGTAGAAAGCAGGCCTGAGGAGAGAACCTGCCAAAGTTTAAAGATATGGGAGAGAAGGCAATTGGAATTAGTCTGATGCCCTAATTCTCAGGCCAATGAGACAAATACAACAGGTAGTAGGAGTCTCTATATCTGAATATTATGTGGGAATTGGACATAACTACCCTCTTCTAAATGTCCAGAGGTAGAGTAAGAACGATGTGAATTAAACTTTTTCAATGCTAATATCTGCACTGAAGAGACTTCATAGATAGGGCATACATGCTTGGGTTTCTTGACCGAAGAGTCTCATGACTCAGGGTGATCAGATGTTACATTTGTAGAAGACAGACTTAAAGGCCTCAGAGAGATAAGTAGATGGGATGTAGGAGTAGGAGAATAGGGATAATTAAGGGAAGAAAAGAGGCAGAGCAGGGAGAAGTGAAAGATGGGAAAAAAAAAAAACAGTACAAACTGAAGGTAAGAGAATGGCGTAAGAGTAGGTTATTGTTGGCGGTACACAGATTCTTAAAAATATTTATGTATTTAATTTTACAGTTGTCTTCTCTTTCGGCAAGTTGTTTTTGCTTTGTATTTCCAGGAGTGATACAGAGTTTCAAATTTTTAAACATTTATTTAAGAAAAAATACAAAATCAGTCTAAGGAAAAACAATTAAGCATACCAATTTCTTAATCTACAGAATCCTAAGGAGTACCATGGAATATAACCTGCTTTTCAGGATTGCTGTGATGATTAGCAATGGGGGTTATAAATCATCTAGCATAACGCCTAGGAGGTTTTCAATAATTATTAACTAATATCATTACCATTAGTATTTTAAGTACCTAGCATGTGCCAAACTTAACAAAAACTATTTTATTAATGAACCCATAGAAAAACAACAGGAGTTTTTTAAAAGAGAAAAGAAACTGGAGAAACAATTAGATTATATGATTAGCAAAAAATAAGAATGGTATTAATGATAATACAAAAATGAATTGGAAGTAAAGAGTTGTTTAGAAGAAATTAAGGGGATAGGAATAAAATTAGGAGTCAGGAAGTATAGGTAACAAGATGGTGACTTATGATTTTTAGATGGAGCTGAAAGGTCTGGTGCCAAGATGGGGCCTGACTAATTAGGTTGCTCACTAAGCATAGAAGAACAGAAACAAGTGTTCTTGACCTGGGAACCATGGGTGGGTACTGGGAGATTACTAAACCTCTAAGACCAGGTGATAAAATGTTATGTATGCAAGTATGAGAGCAAGTATTTTTCTGAGAAGAGGATCCCTGGCTCCCATCAGATGTTCAGAGATTTGTGACATCAAATTTTTAAATACTGCTGACTACGAGCAAGATCAACTAGTCCACTGAAAGTATCTGAAGGCTGTATCTCTGTATAGGCAGTGTCCCAAGTTTGCCACGTATTGGAACGATGCTGCACTTAAGGTAGCTGGAACAGAGGGGCCAAGTGTTGAGCTGAATCTATTATGAGCAAGTCATGGTCCTATCACTAGCATTTTTCAAAACAGACTTCTGATAAGCCATGGCCAGATCTGTTATAGACCTGGTAGGCAAAGAAGCAATTGGTGTAAGAAAAAATGTCACCATGGCACAGCAAGATTTCCCTTAGAAGACAATGAGATTGATCATCACATAATGAGATTCTAAGCATTATAGATGGTGGTGAGTGTGCCTAACTGAGTTCCTGTCTCCACAAGGGCAGCCCTGACCACCAAACCTTGGGTGTACCTCTGAGGAAAAGGCAGGGAAAGGAGAGCCATTTTCACACACTTGTACCCCTAATCTCATTGTGCCCTTTTCACTACTTGTTTTCTGATTCAATAATAAACTGAAATTATCAGCAACCTTAGACCAGCAAATCAAAGGCATCTTCATACCAGGCAATCCTTAGGGAACCAAGAGCCAGCCAGTCCCAGGAAGCTCTGCAGAGCTATTTGGAGATTGCTTTGGGTCTGTTTTATCACAA